AAACTCAGCTGCCCTCACGGTTACGGTTACTCACCTGCCCGGGTCCCGCCACCCGGTTCTGGTGGTTGGTGCTCGCTCAGTCTGGTGGTTTGGGGGCGGCTTCTTTTCCATTCATTGGGCAGGCCTAGCTCCCTGCTTCGGGAGTGCTGTGGTCTTGTCGGACTTTGGCTAGCCTGTGAAAGCCAAGCCTGGACAAATTGCAACAAAACCATCATTTTCAGCCACGTATGTCTGGACTTACGGCTGTTTGATGGTGTATGAAACAGGTGGAAGCATTATGGGGCACAGAGCACCCCCCTCTCTTGACACATCCAGTTAATTTCCACTCAACACATCTTGCCTGAAAAGTACATACTTTGTTTTTCTGCTCCCAACCGTTCACCATTAATGCCCTAAGCTTGTTCATGGCCTACACCTGTCCCTGTCTGTCTCCTTCGCACCCATGGAAAGTAATTACTTTGCAGTCTTAATGTTGCCAGAATAAAAAGCTCATCTCACGTGTATATGATAGCTTCTTCACTTCCTTTAGTATCCTTGGCACCCTTTTCAACGCTTAATTAAGCTTCAATCATTCCTCTTTTTTCTTATTCTCCTGAAAAGTACTGATGTGCCCACAGCACCAATGGTAGTATCTTTTATCTCTACTGGAAAAATACATTTTGAAACGGTCTAGAACAGCATTTGCCCGTTTAACAGTAGCATTACCCTTCTTACTCCATCATCCAGTGATTAATTGCATCAGCTAAGTTTTTTTCCTAACCCATTTCTGTGTGTGGAAAAAATACATTGTTATTAAGGACATGTATTTCTCTCATACTATCAGATACTATCCTTTCTTATTATTTCAGTCTTTGAAGACATGCAGTTCTTCCCACATAAGAACTTGATCTTCCTTGTTGACAACAGCTCATAAATATGTGAAGTCAGCAAAGCTATTGCACTTTTGCACAGTCTCTTTCAATCACTGACGGCAATAGTTCTAACTATTAATATTTATTGTGCCTTGATTAAGCAAGTCATTACAAGGTAAAGAGGCTCTACGGTGTTTTACTGACTAAAACTACTTGCAAGTACAAGCATGCTTATGCTCACTCTCATATGCTCTTGGTGTCTGCGGTTTGCCAAATTAGGTTGCTCACACATGTTCTTGCTGGATGACCAGAGCACTGGGTGGAGCAGCCAACACACTTCCATACTCTTTCAAGATAATGAAAGCAGGGAACACTGCAAGTGTCCTTTTAGATTGTAGTGTGCAATGTTTGAAGATGTACATCCTGTTCCATTTTCTGACCTACGGTGGTCTCACAGTCTTGGCACATGCTTTTCCTCAGTCTTATGTAGAACGTTGCTTATGTGTGAGACAGCTTGTTTACTGCAGCTGTTTGTTTTACACTGAGGACTGAGTAGTCACAAGACCATTTTCTTTAGCCAGATCCCATAGACTAGCTGTTCAACCCTACGCACAACACTTAAACACAATCTGCAAGCAGAGCACATTGCTTCTTCTTATTAAGACTTAAAATTCTTACCCAAACAGTCCTAAAACAGCATTTCTTGATAAAGCCACCAGTTCCGAAGTAACAAGATCAGATCCAAAACACAGCAATGAGAATCTCCAAGAATGACCTCCCTCCATCCTGATGCTGTCTGACAGTTTTTACCTTTGCCTTTTTTTAAACTAATCTCCTACATCTTCTCTAATCTAGCAAAATTTCCCCGTTGGCACTAGCTTTTGTTCTCATCCGAATGCTTCGTGCAGCTTCACCTTTCTTTGCCAATCGGGAATTAATGCATTAATTATATTCCGTCTGCTTCTTCCTAATGACCTTTCTGAATCTTTAGCTAGTATTTGTCCTTCTTGGGGATCAGTTGCAGTTAATTTTTGCATCTTCAAGATAAGTCCTAAAAAACCTTCATACAGTAGTTTCTGACTTTTCCTAATAAAAAATGCACCAGTTCCTCCTAGCTGATAGCAACCGCTGATATCCAAGCTGTGGTACAGCCTGCAAGACAGTAAAACCAGCTGAACTTGCTACCTTGTATCGTGATCCCACATCTAACTTTTAAAAAGATATATTACATTGATTGGGAAGCAGCACTGTGAGCTGTAGTTCCCCACACTCTGATGCCTGCTATGAATTACATGGCAGTTCATTCCTGCAGCAAAAAATGTGAGTTTCAGGTAGCAAAAAACCCCCATGTTTAAAAGAAAGGACCTGCGGTGCAGTAAAAGGTACAGTCCTTCCTGAAGTACATTCTCACTGTCCCTGGTGGGAAGTGTGTGTGGTGTTCAGACAGTTAGGAAAAGAGAACAAGGAAGGAAGGAAAGGAATTAAACCTTTGTACTGCTGCCTCTTGGAAAACAGGCTTGGTATTTCTCAAAGGAAGAGAGTTTGTAGCTTTTCTTTTTGAAAATAGGGATCTTAACTGTCTTTTTTTTTTTTTTTCCCACCCCCCTTTATATTTTCATCTCAGTTGAATTAATCCATAGTTTATCAATATTAGATTTTTTCTATAATCAGCTTTCCATAACGCCCTAATGTCAAAATGCAAGCAGAAAAATATACAGCCATTGCAAAAATTAATAACAATGCTGTAGTAGTACTAGCTCCATTCATTCTCCAATACTTATATACACAAAATCTGAGATCTCTGAAAATTCAGGAGACATCTGATTTCTAGAGGTGCTGGATTCCTAAGACTTCACACCAAATCAACAGAGTTTTAAGTTCATGTCATCTCTGAAAGTCAAGACTATATTGTTAGGTGTTGAAAAAGAGAAAACCGTTGTACACCTCTCAAAATTTAACTACAGAAGAGAACAGCTAAAGCGATTCTACACAGAAAGTTGTCAAATTACCTCAATCGATTGACCAAAAAAAGAGAAGAGTTTCCTGCCACATAACTTTCAGCTGCAGAACTCTTAAGATTAACCTTCTTTGAAACCAACAAAGCAACCAGTACCTTAAGCAGTAAGTTTTAATTTAATATTCCTTCAAGCTAGGTAGCTGAAGGTAGCCAAGGTGTGCTACACAGAACTTTCTCAGGATCAGGAGTCCAATTCTTCAGGATGCTATTCTACATGCAACTCTTTTCCAGTTGTGCCAAACACACCTTCTGGAGTTCCCTGTTTCTCCCTGAAGTTTTTGGTTAACAGGTATTTCCCTGTAAACTGGCTGACACACCATCAACTGACACTAAAAGGACAGATAAGATTCTTTTAGGGATCCTTAGCAGAATGATGGCAAGCATAACATCATAGTTACAATTAAAGCTTTATTTCCTTAGAAGAATATTATCATTAGTGTAGCAGAGAATTTGTGATTCAAGTGGCACAGTATTTCTACGAGCAGAATCAATATAGCACAATCTAAAAGTAGCATAACAGCATTTATAATACAACTTATGATTTGTAATCACATGGATGCTCTGCTGATAGGAGTCATATCTTAAGACATCATTTGCTGTATCAATATAATGGTCATTATCTAGACAAGAAAATACAAGTTTGTCCAGAGAAGGGCCACGAATATGATCAAAGGCCTGGAGCATCTCTCTTATGAAGTCAGGCTGAGGGAGCCGGGGTTGTTCAGCATGGGGAAGGCTCCAAGGGCGCGGGGCGGGGCGCGGGGCGGGG